CATAGCTTGTGTTTGTAGATTGGTTATTATAGACCTCCAATCTGATATAATTTAGTTTTTTTTATTTTGATTGTATCTTCCATTGGTTAGATTTTTGTTTCCATGTTTATCCAAACATATTATCTAGGGATAACAATTTCTTCATCTGTTTTTTCTATTGAATACGCTAGAATATATCATCATTATTTCTTACTATGTTTGTATACATAACCGATTAATATACAAAATGTTACATTATTTAAGGTAATGTTTATATGAAATATAACTCTAAGTAAATTGGTACATCAGTAGAACAAAACAGCTGAATAAATGACGTTGAACATGTAACGTTAGTTTTATTATTCACTTAGTTACTATGTACAAAATTAATTCATTTACAAATTAATTGAATCATGAAATAATTGATAAGGAGTATAGAAGCTTAAGTGAAAGGTAAAATTGAAACAAAACAACAAAAAAAAATATAAAAACTTAGCAGTTAATTGAATAACACGATGGTGTTTGAAGCGAACGGTACTGAGTTCGAGTCCCAGAGTGAACATTAAATTTGAGGTGCAAGTACATGTAACTGACGAGTCCCAAATAGGACAAAGCAGCGCACGTCCTGGATTCTACTGCTATCCATTATCCATTTTTGCATAAAATACTTGCGAATTAAGGTAATATCAAGGCAATACTCACAGGATATACATATACCAACATGAGACTGATCAATTACAGTCCAAAATAGTAATGGGAAGATACAAGAAAAACAATATCAAGTGAATTTAAACTTCACCTCATTGCATAAGCAAGTGGTTATCGAGACTCAGTAGTTAAGTGGATAACGCTATGGTGTTTGAAGCGAACGGTACTGAGTTCGAGTCCCAGAGTGAACATTGAATTTGAGGTGCAAGTACATGTAGCTGACGAGTCCCAAATAGGACAAAGCAGCGCGCGTCCTTTATTCCACTGCTATCCACTATCCATTTTTGCATAGAATGCTTGTGAATTAAGGCAATACATATATGCCAAAAAGAGACTGATCGATGATGGTCCTAAATACCAATGATAAGATTCAAACAGACAATACCAAGTGAATTTCTATTTGGTTTTAATTCATGAATACTCTAGGGTATGCACTATGAAATCTATGTAAGATGGATGAATATTGTTGAGGAACTCTTCACTATATTGTGATTTTATATAAAATTTTTGGAAGTAATTGAATTTCTACTGACATCTGAAATTGAAATTCGATTCTATGTTGAATTAGAAATGAACTAAAATATATAAGTCAGACCTTCAGTAAATTGACTCTTTCGGCTTTCTTGATATTCTCTAGTTCTCAGTGTTATGTTAAAATGTCAATGTACTTTACTTACTTACATACGCCTGTTACTCCTCGTGAAGGAGCACAGGCCGCTCACCAGCATTCTCCATCCAACCCTGTCCTGGGCAATGTCAATGTAGGTATGGTTCAAATATAACTTATTTCTTATTTTGTTGTCTATTGGGAATCAAATATACTTAACGTTTAAAATAACTGATCACATCAGTAGTTATCACGTCGTTTCGTTTGGTCGCATGTTAAAGAGTAACACTAGGACTTAACGTTATATTCCTGCCGTAAACTAAGCATATAATAAATGTCATGACTGTATATCAATTTAGTGAGTCATATTGACTAAGTTGTTGGAATGCAAATGGTATGCTATACAATGGTTTGTTGTAATGCTGGGGTTGTAAATCTGTTGAAATTCTAGATCAAGTTATGTTTCATTGTCGAGCTAGATAAAACAAAGATAGTGGCCTTAAAACTGTTAGCCGGATTTGATAAGAGCATAAACTAAGCTCATCTCATTGGGAAATATTCTACATGATGTTAAGATTACTTAGAAGTACAAAAAAATTTTATTTGTTCCCAAACAAATGATAAAAATGACAGGATATGAAAGCAGATCTATGCAAAATACTAACTCCTTTCTAAAAAGAGGTGAATAGTGACTGACAGCGGAATCTAAGACGCGCGTTTTGTTCCATTTGGGACTTGTCAGTTGGATATGCCAGCATCTTAGTGTTGTTTATCCCATGACTTGTACTCTGTACCATCACTTTACCCACTTAGCTTACTGAACCCAGATAGCTGTTATGAATGAATCTTACTCGTTTCCAAAAAATATTTCATTAAAATTGTAAATCAGTGACAATACAATGTTATTATTATTATTATATAAAGTTAACTCTTAACATAATCATATCATAACTATGTATGAATCGTACATATGATTTAGACATAAACTTATCTGACCATTCATGAATACATTTCTATTGGGAACATAATCATATTTCTTAAAAGAATACAATTAAGACTACTACTTACTTACACCTGTTACTCCTTGTAGGGGAGCATAGACTGCTCGACAGCACTGTCCATCTAACTCTGTCCTTGGCAATCTTTTCCAGTTCTTTCCAATTGTTATTCATTCTTTTCATATATGCTAACCTAGAAAAAATACAATTAAAACAATAAACAATCAACAACAAAAAAATAATCACTAAGGATTTAAGTGTATGAGATATTGTTTTGATTTTCAAATCCCTGGTGAATGAATTTCAGACAGTATAAGAATTAATTGATAAGCATTAGAGCAGCATACTTTTAGATAATAAAAAAAAAATGCTCAAAACAATCAGTATAAATTCAATTAGCTTTAATATTATGTAATCGATGTAAATAATCAGATTGTGTACATAATAGAAGAATTATTTTAAAGGATCCTAAAACTTTTAGTTAAGTTATAGGAATCATATTCATATGACCATTGAACTGTTAAAACTTTAAACCGTTCAAATATGATCATGAAATCATGAGTCAATTGAAGCTAGATCACTATGGCAAAGCTGGAAACACTGGACGGCCATTCCGTCCTATTGTAGGACTCCTCAGAAGTGCGCATCCATGATCCCGACTCGTGACATTCCAACCCAGGTCCTATCAGTCTCACGCGCGAGTACTTAACTATCAGACCACTTAGCAGGCATCCAATAGTGTTAGTGTCTAACTTCTACTAATCCATGAAATTCAGCAACACATCTACTAATGTCTTCAGTGAGTTACTATTTCACAACTAACCCTATTGAACTCCACTGGTCACTGTTCTCACTAGAACTCCAGGATATACATCTTGAAGCGAGTCACTAGTGAGCATATGTTGATTATTATCAGAAGGGTGTTTTATGGAGATTTTATTCATTTCAATTGCTGAGATCATGAGTCATTTGAAGCTAGACCACCATGGAAAACCTGGAAGCAGTGGACTGCTGTTTCGTCTTATTGTGGGACTCCTCAACAGTGCTTCGACTGACTCATGATCTCAACAATTGAAGTGACTAAAATTTCCACAAAACCCCCCTCTGATATGAATTTTTCTTTATTTTTTATCGATGAATTTGCAAATCTTTTTTGATTCTTCTGACATCATTGTTAAAATGCTGTGTACTGTTTTTAGAGCGGTTTATACCTAACTTCCTTTCTGTTTGTAGGAATATAGTACTGACAGACAGAGTAATTATACTTAGGAAATATCAAACTTCTACCACGTTTTAGTGCAGCTACCAACAGAACTAAGTTTTTGAACCTCAGGTTTTCTACTTTTGATTTGATGGAACATCAGTTAACATGCTATGTATAGTCTAATTTATATATATACATATAATTATTGATTAAGATGGTGATGTTATACCACAATTCAAAATGTGGAAGCATTGGATGGCTTTTTCTTCTTAGTATAGGTCTCCTCAACGGTGTGGATCTACGATCTCACACCTGGGACTCGAACTTAGGACTTTCGGTCTCACGTGAGAATGCTTAACCTACAGATCACTGAGTAGGCATTCAATGGTGTTAATTTCTAACTTCAACACATCCACGAAATTGCGCAACCATACTAGGATGAAACGGCTGTCCGATGCTTCCAGGTTTCCAATGGTGGTTTAACATTGATCGGTTCATGGTCTCAATCAATATTTCAGCAATCTTCACAACCCTCTATTACAAATATATAGTTGTTGAAACCGAGACAGAAAAGATATATATATAGTGAATGAGAGAGAAGTTATAAAAGCAACATATAAATTTTTCAATGATTAAGATTATGAGTCAGTTGAAGCTAGACCACCATGGTAAACCTGGAAGCACTGAACAACTGGTTCGTCCTAGTGTGGGACTAATCAGCAGTGCGCATCCACAATTCCGCTCGTGAGACTGAAGGCCCTGGGTTCGAATCCCGTGAGCGGGATCGTGGATACGTACTGCTGAGGAGTCCCACAATAGAACGAACCAGCCATCCAGTGCTTCCAGGTTTTCAGTGGTGGTCTACCATCAATTGGTTCATGATCTCAATTAAAATAAGTATATTCATGTTATTTAAAGCCACTAAGTTTGCGCAAACTATAAAATTCTTATCATTTTTCAGTTTATTTAATATCCTCAGTCAGGATAACTCGAGTGAAACCAAGCTTGAAAATAACAAGTTTAAAAGAAACTTGACAATAATATTCTGGTAAATCCAACAAAATCGACATCACACAATTTTACTTTTTATGTTGCAGGGACAAACAATGTCTCCAGTCCATTGCTCCACGTGTTATATATGCCTGAACACCGATTACCACGATTATGAGTCAGTTGAAGCTCGATTTCGTGGATTAGTTGAAGTTAGACATTAACACCGTTGGATGCCGACTCAGTGGTGTAGTGGTTAAGTGCTCGCGCGAGAAACCAGTAGGTCTTGAGTTCGAATCTCGCAGGGGGTGAGGTCGTGGATGCGCACTGCTGAGAAGTCCCATAATAGGACGAAACGGCCGTCCAGTGCTTCCAGGTTTTCCATGGTGGTCTAGCTTCAACTGACTCATGATCTTAATAATTGAAATTACTACAATCTCCACAAAACGCCTTCTGATATAAATTTTTATCAACATTATTATTAACATTGTGATTTTGTTTTGTTTTTATTCAGGACTTGCTGGTTTAGATCCAAAATCAAGCGGAAAAATTGGCTCATATGCATTGATTTATTATGTAGTAACTACAATGCTTGCAGTTATACTTGGTATCGGTCTAGTTTTATGCATACATCCAGGTGATACATCAATTAAAGATGAAATAGGCGAAGGAACAATAGAGGAACGTAGACCGGAAACATTGGATTCTTTACTGGATTTATTAAGGTTAGTGTTTGAATAAAGAAATATAATGGTTTTGTATTGTTGCTGATAATTTTAAGCTGGTGAGTATTTCACAGCTTTGATTAATAGAAAGAGAAAGTTTTAAATCATGTTTAAGTCATAGTGATTATATTCTCCTGTTTCATTTAGACTTAAAGCAGTAGATTTCATCATGGATTAATAAAGAGACCTCTAGTTGTTGATAACTCAGTGAAAAAGTTAGTATTCAGTAGGTTTACCAATGTTTTAATGTAAACTCAATAATTCATATTTATCGAAGGCAATAATAATAGGCCTTTAACTAATACATCAAGGGTCTTTCTAAAGGAAACCAAACGCTGATCTGTATCATTTAGTATAGTGTCAGATAATAGCTCATAATCTACTGAAATGGATCGATTCACAATTGTTTAGTCTGCATCAAACATCTCAAATATCTAATTTTTATGTAAGCTTTCTACTTATATGCAGCACTCTAGATTTTTATTATATGTTATGATATGGCTCTCTACTAAAAAATAAATATTCGTCGCCAGTCATTCTGTCATTTCTCAACAGAATGTTCATGCTCACTTGGTGCTGTTTTACTTATATCCTCCCATTGTTATTTAGGAATGAAATTGATCAGTCTCTTACTGGCATATGTGCATCCCGTGCGGATTGCCTCGATATAGCCTTAAGTCACAAGCTTTTTTAAGCAAAGATGGATAGTGGCTAGCCGTTTGAGGCGAACGGTACTGCGTTCGAGTCGCAGAGTGAACATCAACTCTGAGATGCAGGTACATCCAGCTGACGGGTCTCAGGTAGGACGAAACACACGTCCTGGATTCCACTACTAGCCACTATCCTTCTTTGCTTAGAATATTTATGTACTGTAAGATACATTTTTGTTTACTTCAATAATATTTGCAAAACGTGCCTTTTTGGTGGAATTTATAATGAATTCAAAGCAGTCGATAACTAACTTCAGGGACAAGTTTCATGCTAAATGAAATTCATCATTAAGGCGAGTCTACAATCTTGAAGTAAATAATGCTTCTGAGAGATTTGAACCCTCATCGTCCAGTTTTACAGTTATCTATTCGGTCAGCAGTCATTAAGTTGACTCAATTGTATTAGTTAGGTTATATAATATGCCATTATCGAGTCTGACACATGATCTTTTCTGTGATTCGAATAACAAGATGGTAACGGCCTGAGCTGTAAATTTGGGTAGTGAGACTTGAAATCTCACAAGAAGGTTTTGTTAACACAAGTCTATGGATAGATCCTAACGTACAGACTCAGCTAGCATAAAACCTAGTTTCGACTACCCCTAACCATACTACATCAGAACGTAGAACAATGAGTGTGAAATCACTGGGACTATTAGCTAAAAACATGTGAAAACAGTTATTACTTAGTGTTTAAACCAATCTAAACATTCCACAATCTTTGCTATGAGAAAATGGTAGTCTAACACTGGTCGGTTCATGATCTCGACGAAACTAAACAAATTTCCACAATCCTTTACTGATAATTACCATGTCCACACCAGTGACTAGAGTCGAGTGGTAATTCCCAGAGTTCCAGTGAGAAACCGAGACTGGTGAAGCTAATCTATTTTAGCTGTGAGGCAGTTACTCACTTAAGACAATGGAAGACGGTCGTGCAAAATCGTGAATTGGTTAAAGTTAGACGCTAACACTGTTGGATACCGATTCGATCGGTCCTGAGGTTAGGCTTTCACAAGTAAGATTGGGAGTCCTGGGTTTGATTCTCACGTATCGAGTTGTGGGGAAGCACTGCCGAGGTGTCTCACATTAGGATGAAATGAACATCTAGTGCTTTTAGGTTTTCAATGGTGATATAAATTATATAATTTTCTAAAATAATGAAAATTTTTGTATTGTTAATTCAGTAATCTACTGAAGAATGAAATTTCAGTTATACTTTCATTTCGAAATTTTCGATACGTTAATATTCAGCGTCGTTGAATTTTGAGATGATAGAGAAGATTTGTAGCTCAAGTAGATTATTATGATGGAGTTTTGTTCTCTGAGCTGGATAGTTTGGTTGTGGAGCTTTCATTGTTCTTTTCTGAACGACATCATCAGTACAAACTTCAAGTAGAAGTGAAGTGTTCAAGTTTCTTTACATACTGTTCAAAACTTGTTCTGTAGAACTCGATGTCGATTGTTTATTGTCGACACTTCACTTCTATTTGAAGTTTGTACTGATGATGTCGTTCAGAATAACGACGAAAACTTCATGACCGAAAACTATCCAGCTCAAAGAACAAAACCCCATCAAAAGTTGTTGTATTTGCTGACAGTTGTTATACTACAACGTATTTAGTGTTAATCCCAGTTTATTTGATTTGTAATGTTACAATTCAAGTTTATTGTATAAAAAAAACCATACAGATGAGACTATAATTTATGGACGACCTTTGAACGACGTTCGACTGACCTTGATATTGTCCACTTACTAAATAGAACTAAATTAGGGTTATAAATCTGTGTGAGGACTTCGAATTATGATTAAAAATTGACGGTTAGGAATTATATTTAGAGTTTTCATCACTAAATGACATCAGCTATAATGCCGAAACTCTATTAAGCTAAATGGATGAGTGAATTTCGCGCCAAAATCCGAGACCTGTTATCTTATACATGATTGGTTCATCAATAAATTATAGTCTCACCACCCTACAAATTTTAACCCAGAAATAATATAGTCTGAATTATTTTTCAGTATGTAATTATTATCTAAGATAGAACTTGAAAACAACGTAACAGTTGTCACCATATTAGTAGATTTATAATTGATGAGTTGCAAAAAAAAATGGTTTTGTTTATTCAATTCTTCTTTTCTTAATTGATTTTTTCTTAATTAAATGTACTGTGGTGACTGGCCCTATGTCAAATTCACATCATTGTCCTAGTTTATGGACATACCAATTTATTCATTTTTCTTGAGTTACATTTTATTCTGTTACTTATTTGCTTATCAATTTTGACTGTTTTATATAAACGTATGTATGTGAATTTCTTAACTTAATCATCACATATCAGTAACTTAATTTTGTCTGACTATAAATATTGAGTCTTGCTTGGTTAAATTGAATTGACTGACTCGCCTCCATTGGGCGTCATTTTGTTTTGCTTATCTTTTTCCTCTTCACTTCTTAAGATCCGTTTCCCTGATTGTTTTTGTTCAGATCAACGATTGTATGAAATACACATATTCAAGACTTTATACCGTTATTCACTAACTTCAGTTAAGCCGATAATCAGGTACGAGGATTAGCAACATGTGTATCTTAATAGCAATCAACCATACGATCAAATAGAGGAGTCAGATATACAGCCACAAAAGTACACAAGGATTGATTATAATGATAATTAGGAATCATTGAAATTATGGAGAGAGAAGAGTTTTACAGATTGTTAAGCTTTGTAGTATTTTTAGTTCTTATCTTATCAAGATTAGTCTGTAATGTAAAACTGATGAATCCGTTTCTACATTTTTAAAAACTTAAATTCATCCATTTCATGGATAACCATTTTCCCGTTATTCATATATGGATGGTAACTGTTGGGATCCATCTATGGACTAATACTATACATACATTTTTATTGTATAATTATTAAGTAGCTAAACTATGCATAATCATTCACTTGATATTGTTTACTTGAAACTTCCCATTGATGTTTAGGATTGCAATTGATCAGTCGCTTATATGTTTATGTACATCCTATACTGATTGTCTCGATATTGCCTTAATTCACAAGTATTATAATCAAAGATAGATAGTAAAGCGTTTGAAGCGAACGATATTAGATTCAAGTCTCAAAGTGAACATCAACTCTGAGATACAGGTACATTCAGCTAATAAGTCTCAAATCAGATGAAACGCGTTTCCATGAATTCCACTATCAATCACTATCATTCATTGTTTATAATTATTAATATAGTTTATATATTAAACAAATAGTTATTTTCAGAAGGGATTGTGTGGAGATTTTAGAAATTTCACTGGTTGAAATCGTGAATCCATTGAAGCAACTTCGTGGATTGGTTGAAGTTAGACATTAACACCGTTGGATGCCGGCCGGCTCAGTGGTCTAGTTGGTTAAGCGCCTGGCGCGAGACTGATAGGTCCTGGGTTCGAATCTCGCGAGGAGCGGGATCGTGGATGCGCACTGCTGAGGAGTCCCATACTAGAACGAAACGGCTGTCCAGTGCTTCCAGGTTTTCCATGGTGGTCTAGCTTCAATGGATTCACGAATTCAACCAGTGAAATAGTTATTCATTTATTTAGTAATCTCTGTTACTATAATTTATATCTATTAACCTTTTAGATCACTTAGAGTTTTGTCCAAATACTCTTCAATCATTTTGAAAAACAAACAAACAAACAAACAACAACAACACCATCACTTGTTTACTTAATTTATTAATACTTTTTAATTAAAAATCCGGTTAACTTATCAACTTTCTTAAGGTACTCATGATATTACAGTAATATACTACTTCATAAGTAGTAATTAAATCTAAATGAATATCAATTTACAATAACAAATTTAATTCATATCAAAATAGAAAAAAAAAATTTACGAAAATTAATTTGATTACATCTAGACCATCCTATGAAAATCTGTAAAAGTATTGGACAAATATTTCATTCTAATATAAGACTTCTCAGTTTAACTTAATTAAATTAATTCAACCATATGCTTAACTATTTTCGTTTTTGTTTTTTTGTTTTTGTGTGTGTATGTGTGTGTGTGTTTTTTCGTGATCTTAATTCTTTCAATTTAAGTAATATTTAAGGAAGTCATTCATTCAATATGACCGATTATTTTGAAAGAAATAAAATAAAATGTCAAAATTCATTTTCTTATAACCTCAAATAATTATAGTATACTAAAAACCAAAAAAAAAAGAAAAGAAAAGAAAACAGAGAAAAGAGAAAAAAGAGAAAGAAGAAAAGTGTATAATTTCATTTACCGTTTAAA